AAGTAAAATATTGTACTATATATTTAGCACCTTTGGCCTTTAAAACACAAAGTCTATCTTGCTCAGATTATCATTTATTTTTTGGAAATTGTGATATTTTAACCATATAAAGTTATATTCTGAAGTTTTATTACAGTATATATTGCCACAATAATAGAATAATGAACAAAATTTGAACACAGTATTGACTAAAACTTTTATAATAAGTCAACGTTTAGTGTGATAGGCCGGTAGACCTACTTAACTTTTTGTTTTGGCATTGTTTTACTCATAGCTTTGAACAAGCAAAAATGGAACTACAAATGCAATAAGCACCTGAACCCCCGCCACACCCCCCACCCCCCGGATCCGCCACTGGGTGTCAAATTTTTTCCATAAAAACTCCAAAAAGAAAGGGGCTCTTCCTTGATTCATAGATGGCGGGACTTCTGAGGTGTCTTTTAATGACTTTTAAATTCTTCAAAGTTCAAGGTTTTCCCCTCTTGAAAATGGCCAGTTAAACCAAACTTTCTCAGTCTTACTTATTACTGTAAATAGGCCTATTTATGTGTGTGTATATATGTACATAAAAAAATTGAGTCGCATATGTATTCTTTTCATGAACCGATGCACCGCAAAGAGGAGGGAAATTTTTATCCCTAGATGGCAGGAAATTAGCTTTCCCGACTTCTGAGCTGTTTTTTTTAATGACTTTAAATTCTTGAAATTTTAAAGTTTTCCCCCTCTTGAAAACGGTCAGGTAAACCTTCTCATTCTTATTACAGTAAATACTAGTAGGCCTATTATGTGTGTATATGAAGTACATCGCATACATATTCTTCTTTCGATGAATCGATGAACCACAAAGAGGAAGGGGAACCCCCCCCCCCAAAAAAAATAAATAAATAAATCCGCCATGTGAATTGTGAGAAATAACTCGGTCGGGGACTGCATAAACACTGTCTCTTTCCTCCGTCTCCTCCTTCTTAACTCTTTCTTTTCTTGCATTTCTTTCCGATCATACAAAAATCTTAATAGACATTATATATTTTCTCCCACAATGTGGGGGCGGGCCCTACAGTTTCGTTGTATAACACATTACAAAAACAAAATATGTAATTGCACAGACATAGGGCCTGTTTCTGCTGCCAGAAAATACCGGTATTTTTTTTTGCAGTAGAAACGGGCCATCCTAAGAAATACAGGTATTTCTGTACCGCTTAAAAAATCGCTATTGATTGAGGGTACGTACCGGTATTCAGGAATGTGTAACGCAGGGAACATTTTCACCAGTATCGCATCGCAAATAGCTACACAATAGTTAACAATTGCTACGCAATTACAAAACAGCATCGCACAACATTGCGAACCAAGAAAAGCCTCATATCCCTGCATGTTGTTTTTCACACTAGGCCCTAGGCCTAGCCAGATGTAGGCCTCTGAATGTTTTATAACTTACATGTTTTAGTTGTCATTCGTTTTCAATAAAATATTCTCATTGTGTTTGTATTGTTTTTCAATCACTTCAACCATGCTTTGTTGCTAGGTTGCAACTTGCTGTGAAAATTATCAGTTATTTTTTCACGCGCGTCAGTGCTGTTGGAAGAAAATCAAAGAACACTCAGACAGGCTCTTCTCTTTGAACAGCCTTCCGCCTGCCGCCGCATTCGATCCACGCTCAAACCCAACCTCGTGGTATGATGTTTTGAAATGGTGCACAGCTTATCAACTGGGAACCTGTCAGCATTATAAACAAGATGACGATTAGATGGGGTAGTGCTAGGCCTGACTCACGTTTATAAATACAGTACTTAATTTATTAAATAGGACCAGCATGCAAGATTCTTTTTATCATTAATGGTTTTCAATCAGAGTACATACTGCTGGTTTCAAGAGAGCTGTAATCTGCTGTAATGTTGTGCCGATTAATGTCTGCCACACAAAAAATAGGCCTAGTGAATCAAGTTACATTCCTCGGTGTCGGTTAACCACGGCGTCGGTTGACCACGGCCAAGTACAGTAGGCCTAATATGAACTTTTGACTTGATCAACTCAACCTTAATTTTTTTACAATATAATCAGGACATTTTTGTTCTGTTGATAACATTATTGTCCTATCATTGTTATCAATGTTAACTCATCCCCAGACGTCCGTGGCCCATCCAATCAACTTATCTCCATTATTCGTGGTGGTAAAAAATAACGCTTGTATTTTTGTGACATCACTATGTACTTTATTAATTTTATTGTTCACATCATAGAGAAGGAAGTTCTTTCTCTATGTTCACATAGATTATTCCAAATAAACAGCATTCATTGATACTTCAATAATTAATATTGTATACATACAAAAAGAATATTGAATTTAAAATATAAATTTACACTATCGTCCAAAATAAGCTTAACTAATATAAATTGCAATATTGTGTTCATCTTCATCATCTGAAGTGGTGGGACTTTTCTTGAATGAATTACTTTTTGGAAGCCTGCATAGACCTTGAATGTTGTAAAATCATAATAGTTCGATGATAATTTTTGGGGAAAAATGCTATACAAAAATGTGATATTGCTACCCAATTTTCAATTTTATTAGCAAACATTGCTAATCAAAATTTTGAAATGAAAATGTTCCCTGTAAAGGTATTCACAGTCCCTAAATTCAGCTGCAACACAAAATACTTGTATTGGTGACCCCCG